CATTTCTTAACAGTTTGATCAATTTGGAATTCTGTACCTATAATGAGTCCAGTATAGTTTATAGTTAATATTTTGATTATTTATAAGTTTAATCATTTTTAAAATGTATGATATATTTATTACATAATAATGAATAGGTAGCAAGAACAATTYACATGATGAAAATTCTTTTAAATATAACAACAAAGTATAAAAACATATTCTATACCTATAAATCAGATTTTAATATGGATGTTTTCGTTTATGTAGGAAGTAGCCTTAAGTAAAAAAACCCATGGGTAGGTTATTGAAGGAAATGGGAATTCTCGTATTCTTAGGTAYACAAATTATAATAAATTATATACATAAATAAAATTTTTATTGTTTAACCTTTGTTTTAGCTAAGTTTAATTTACAGTTAATATTTCGATACTATCTAATGTTTCAWATTATCTAAATTAATTTCATATCATTAAGGAAAAGCAGTAGTCATTTTAATTTGAAATTCATATTTTCCTATCTAATTGTCTTATATTGAGGCTTATATTATAAACATAAATATACCTTCTTGTTCAAACTATTGTCCTTGTGCAGGGATTACACAATCGCAACGCACCTAACATGCGTTGTTTATATGCATTGTTGCAACTCATTACTCATTTCAGTTACATATATAATAGGTAGTACCTACTACCTATCATTACATTATCATATATACGAACATTAAATTGTATCAATGTCAATGTTAAATTATCACTTAGTGTCAAAAAGTGGGATTCGTTTAGTAAACATGTAGGATGATAATCCGGAGGCGGATTCGCGAAGTAGGATGCAAAATAATAAATGCTCTTAATTCATGTCGACCTTGTATCTTGAAAAAAAAAACAGATTAAAATTTTTTTATCGTAAGTGTGTAGACACAATTTTTTYGATACAACGTTAATATTATCCTAGAAAGACCTGTGTTCAAGACGATYTCATTGAACATGTATCTTACAAGAACAAACAGAATAATAATAATGAGCTTAAAAATTGTGTTCGTGGGATGATAAATAACTGTATGGTAAATATATTAGTTATGCTACTATATACCTACTACCTAATAATGAGAAAATCCTTGAAATATTATCATTCAGAAACTTTATTGAATCAAAATGTTCACAAAATACATTTTTCGAATATATAACATAGGATTCCCAAATTAGGGGACGTTTCAAGGATATTTCATACAATAACAAAAACTATGACCAACGCTATTGAAAGCTTAAATTAAAAAAAAAAAA